GTGCATCCCAAAATTCCAGGTCCTGCTTCCCAAACTTTCAAGTCGTGCATCCCAAAATTCCAGGTTCTGCTTCCCGAAGTTCTGAGTCCTGCTTCCCAAAAATCCAAGCCCTGAGTCCCAAACTTGCAAGTCGTGTTTCCCAAAGTTCCAGGACCTCCTTCCCAAAATCCTTTGCCCTGCTTCCCAAAAATCCAAGTCTTGCTTCCCAAACATCTGAGTCCTGCTTCCCAAAATTCTGGGTCCTGCTTCCTGAAATTCTGGGTCCTGCTTCCCAAAAATCTGAGTGCTGCTTGCCATAGTTCCAGGTCATGCTTCCTGAAATTCCGAGTCCTGCTTCCCAAAATTCTGAGTCCTGCTTCCTGAAATTCCGTGTCCCACTTCTTGAAATTCTGGGTCCTGCTTCCCAAAAATCCGAGTCTTGCTTCCCAAAATTCTGAGCGCTGCTTCCCAAAATTCCCGGTCTTGCTTCCCGAAAATCTGAGTCCTGCTTCCCACAAATCCAAGTGCTACTTCCCAAAAATCCGAGTGCTGCATCCCAAAAATCTGAGTGCTGCTTCTCAAAGTTCCAGGTCCTGCATCCCAGATTTCCGAGAACTGCATCCCAAACTTCTGACTCCTGCTTCCCAAAATCCTTTGCCCTGCATCCCAAAAATCCAAGTCCTTCTTCCCAAATTTCTGAATCCTGCTTCCCAAAATTCTGAGTCCTGCTTCCCAAAAATCCAGGTCCCGCTTCCCAAAAATCCGAGTACTGCTTCCCCAAATTCCGAGTCCTGCTTCCAGAAATTCCGAGTCCTGCTTCCTGAAATTCGGGATTCTGCTTCCCAAAATTCCAAGTCCTGCTTCCTGAAAAATCTGACTCCTGCTTCCCAGAATTCCGAGTCCTGCTTCCTGAAATTCCGGGTCCCGCATCCCAAAATTCTGAATCCTGGATCCCAACATTTTGAGTGCTGCTTCCCAAAAATCCAAGTCCTGAATCCCAAACTTGCGAGTGCTGCATCCCAAAATTCCGAGTGCTGCTTCCCAAAGTTCCAGGTCCTGCTTCCCAAAATTCTGAGTCCTGCTTCTCGAAACTCCAAGCCCTGCTTCCCAAACTTCTGAGTCCTACATCCCAAAAATCCAGCTCCTGCATCCCAAAAATCCGAGTCCTGCATCCCAGATTTCTGAGAACTTCATCCCAAACTTCTGAGTCCTGTATCCCAAAATCCTTTGCCCTGCATCCCAAAAATCCAGCTCCTGCTTCCCAAAATTCCAGCTCCTGCTTCCCAAACTTGTGAGTCCTACATCCCAAAAATCCAAGTCCTGAATCCCAGACTTCTGAGTCCTGCTTCCCAAAAATCCTGAATCCTGCTTCCCAAAATTCCAGCTCCTGCTTCCCAAACTTTCAAGTCCTGCTTCCCAAACTTTTGAGTCCTGCTTCCCAAAATTCCAAGTCCTGCTTCCTAAACTTCTGAATCCTGGATCCCAAACTTCTGAGTCCTGCTTCCCAAAAACACGAGTCCTGCATCCCAAAAATCCAAGTCCTACGTCCCAAAATTCTGGGTCCTACATCCCAAAAATCCAAGTCCTGAATCCCAGACTTCTGAGTCCTGCTTCCCAAAAATCTGAGTCCTGCTTCCCAAAAATCTGAGTCCTGCTTCCCAAAAATCTGAGTCCTGCTTCCCAAAATTCCAGCTCCTGCTTCCCAAAGTTTCAAGTCCTGCATCCCAAACTTCCGAGTCCTGCATCCCAAATTTGCGAGAACTTCATCCCAAACTTCTGAGTCCTGCTTCCTGAAATTCCGAGTCCGACTTCCCAAAATTCTGAATCTTGCTTCCCAAAAATGCAAGCCCTGCTTCCCAAACTTCCGAGTCCTGTATCCCAAATTGCCGAGTCCTGCTTCCCAAAAATCCAGCTCCTGCTTCCCAAACTTGTGAGTCCTGCATCCCAAAAATCCGAGTCCTGCATCCCAGATTTCTGAGAACTTCATCCCAAAAATCCGAGTCCTGCTTCCCAAAATTCCAGGCTGTGCTTCCCAAAATTCCAAGTCCTGCTTCCTAAACTTCTGAATCCTGCTTCCCAAACTTCTGAGTCCTGCTTCCCAAAATTCCAACTCCTGCATCCCAAACTTCTGAATCCTGCTTCCCAAAAACGCAAGTCCTGCATCCCAAAAATCCAAGTCACACATCCCAAAATTCCGGGTCTTGCATCCCAAAATTCCAGCTCCTGCTTCCCAAACTTCTGAGTCCTGCATCCCGAATTTCCGCCTCCTGGATCCTGCTCCCAGTCTTCCAAGTCCTGCTTCCCGAATTTCCAAGCCCCGCTTCCGGTCCCGCTTCCCGAAATTCCGGATCCCCCAGCATTCCAGGCCCGCATTCCAGCCCCCCTTTTCCCGGTTTTTTTCTCACCCCCTGGAACTGGAATTCCCTCCCTGCCCTTCCCGAGGCTTATCCCGAAGTTTATTCCCGGTTTTTTTTCCCAGCCACCTGGACAACCATTCCCTGTGGGAGCCGAAGGTTTTCGCCACCGGCTGCTTCCGGATCATCATGTATTCCATCCAGGTCAGGGCCGGGAAAAATCTGGGATAATCCAGGAGATTCTGGGAGATTCCAGAGCCTCCAAGGCTGTCCCGGCATTCCCAGATCCTGGAATGTCATTCCAAGTGGATCCCAGCCCTGGGAATGAGAGGGAGTGAATGGAACAGGAGGGAAGTTGGGAATTGTGAGGGGGAAAGTTGGGAATTGTGAGGGGAGAAGTTGGGAATTCTGAGGGGAGAAGTTGGGAATTGTGAGGGGGAAAGTTGGGAATTCTGAGGGGAGAGTTGGGAATTCTGAGGGGGAGTTGGGAATTCTGAGGGGGAAAGCTGGGAATTCTGAGGGGTAAGTTGGGAATTGTGAGGGGCGAAGTTGGGAATTGTGAGGAGGAAGTTGGGAATTGTGAGGGGGAAAGTTGGGAATTGTGAGGGGGAGAAGTTGGGAATTCTGAGGGGAAGTTGGGAATTCTGAGGGGGAAGTTGGGAATTGTGAGGGGGAAGTTGGGAATTCTGAGGGGAAGTTGGGAATTCTGAGGGGGAAGTTGGGAATTGTGAGGGGTAAGTTGGGAATTCTGAGGGGGAAGTTGGGAATTCTGAGGGGAAGTTGGGAATTCTGAGGGGGAGGTTGGGAATTCTGAGGGGGAA